CCAGTTCCAGCAACCGTTCCTTATATGTTTTAGCCTCCACTCCCCTAATCATCTTTGTTGCTCTTCTCTGTGTTCTTTCTACAGTCTCAACATCTTTTTTACATCGTGGTGACCAAAACTGGATGCAGTATTCCAAGTGTGGCCTTACCAAGGCATTCTAAAGTGGTATTAATACTTGATGTGATCTTGATTCTATCCCTCTGTTAATACAGCCCAGCACTGTGTTGGCTTTTTTGGCAGCTGCAGCACACTGCTGGCTCATATTTAATTGATTGCCTAAATGTAGAACCTTACTTTTTTCACCATTGAATTTCATTTTGTTCGATAGCGCCCAGTGTTTAAGTCTGTTCAGATCCTCCTGTATCTTAAGCCTGTCTTCTGGAGTGTTGGCTATTCCTGCCAACTTGGTGTCATCTGCAAATTTGATGAGTTCCCCATCTATCCCCTCGTCCAAATCGTTGATGAAAATGTTGAAGAGCACTTGGCCCAGAACAAAGCCTTGGGGCACCCCACTACAGCCTTCCTCCATGTAAATGCGGTTCCATTGAGGAGAACACGCTGAGTTCGGCTGGTCAGCCAGCTACGAATCCATCTGGTGGTGATGCTGTCTAACCCACATTTTTCTATCTTATCGAGTAGTAGGTTGTGATCTACTTTATCAAATGCCTTACTGAAGTCCAAGTAAATTATATCCACAGCATTCCTCTGATCCACTTATTTTGTCACTTGGTCAAAGAATGCAATAAGATTTGTCTGGCATGATCTGTTTTTGGCAAACCCATGTTGGCTTTTAGTAATGGCTTTGTTTGCCTCTAGGTGTTGCTGATTTGTTGTTTGATTATCTTTTCCAGAATCTTCCCAGGTATTGAGGTCAGGCTGATAGGTCTGTAATTTCCTGGATCCATTTTTTCCCCCTTTTTTGAAGATGGAAACTACACCACCTCTTTTCCAGTCCTCTGGTAGTTCCCCAGTGCTGCTCCAGGATCTTTGAAAAATATAGTTCAGTGGTTCTGAGATCACATCTGCCAGTTCCTTGAGAATCTTGGGGTGTAATCCATCTGGTCTTGGTGATCTGAACTCGTCTAAGCTGGACAGGTGCTCACTTACCATTTCTTGCCTATCTTAACGTGTGTTTCTATTCTGTTTTTTATGGCACTATTTTTGATAGGTTGGTCTATTTTTTCCCTTTGTGTAAAGACAGATGCAAAAAACAAGTTAAATAGTTCTGCTTTCTCCCTGTTACTTGTCACCTTCTTGCCACTTTCACCCACTAATGGACCAATCATTTCCTTCACTTTTTTCTTGTTTTTTTACATGTTGAAAGAAGCTTTTTTTTGTTATTTTTGACTTTGGTCGCAAGCCTTATGAGCCTTAGCTTTCCTCACTTCATCTTTGTGGGCTCAGGCTATTTGCTGATATTCTGACTTAGTTATGTGCCCCTCTTTCCACTTTCTATACTGTCCTTTTTATCTTTCAACTTATCAGAGAGTTCTTTATGCAGCCATGCTAGTTTCTTTTGAGAGCTGTTATTTTTCTTCTTTGTTAGTATTGTGCTAGACTGGGTTTTTATTATCTCATTTTTCAAAATTTTCCAAGCTTCTTGAGTTGTTTTCCCATTGAGGATTCTCATCCATGGAATCCTTCCCAAGCCCTCTCTAAGTTTATTGAAATTAGCTCTCTTGACGTCCAAGTCTGTAGTTTGACTGTGTTCTATTGCTTGTGCTTCCATAATGTTAAATTCCAATATTGCATGATCACTACCTCCCAAGGTTTCTATGGCTTCAACACCTTCTATCATTTTATCTCTGTTAGTGGGAATTAGATCCAAAATGGCTAATCCCCTAGTTCCCTTCTCTACTTTTTGGGAGACAAAGTTATCTGCTAGGTTTGTCAGGAATCTGTTTGATCTTCCACTTGGTGCAGAGTTTGTCTCCCAGTTTATGGCAGGGTAGTTAAAGTCCCCCATTACTATTGTGATGTGCTTCCTACGTATCTTAGTTAGCTGACTAGCAAAAAGTTCATCTATTTCCTCAGTTTGGTTGGGTGGCCTATAGTATACACCTACGGCAATGTCATTTTTTCCTCCCTTTTATATTGACCCAAATGCATTCAAGACAGTTTTCATCATTGTTGTGCTTTATTTCTGTAGAGATGTAGTATTTTTTTATATATAGAGCAACTCTACCTCCTCTTTTATTTGGTCTATTTCTTTTAAATAATTTAAATCTCTCTAGCTGTGTGTTCCATTTGTGGGTTTCATCCCACCATGTTTCCGTAATGACAACAATATCATATCTGCCCTCATTAACCTGAATTTCTAGTTCACCCTGTTTGCTGTTCATACTCTGTGCATTGGTATATAATCATTTGAGTCCTTTATAACTGACCCTGTGTTTACTTTCTATATAACCCGTGTGGTGCCTGAGTTCCCCTATTGTCTTACCACCTCTTTGGTTAGTGCACTTTGTGTGGCACTCGCTATTAAAAGCTTGATTTTGCTTGACAGCAAAGTTGATATTCTTGTCCACACACACATCTATGTTATACGCACTGATAGCCCTATAGTTTTTAGATTGCCTAGGACAGGGATGTTCTGTATCAATTAACTCACTGTCCCCATTATTTAGTTTAAATATTCCTCCAGAAAATCTGTGAATTTATAGCCAGACCCTTTCTTTGATGGATGCAAACCATTTCTTTTGTACATTTTTTCATTGGACCAGCCTTTCCCTTTACACCACTCCTTTAGCCACATATTGAATTGTGCTACACGCTGGCCTTTTCCATTTTGCTCCTTATACACTGGTTAAAACCTCTGAAAAAGTAAGCCTACAGCCTATTCTGCTAAGTTCCTGCCCCAAGCTCTGGCAATCATTCTGCACAGAGAGTACATCTTTTTGGGACAGATCGTTAGTGCCAAGATGTACAATAGCCTCCACATCACAGTCCTTGCTGGCATTCTTCATTATTTTAGAAATATACTTCTTGTCCCTACTGGCAGTAGCACCTGGAAGACACCTGACCTCTTTTGAAATCTTTGTGTCCTTTCCTAAATTTACATTCCTTATAATTGAATCACCAACCAGAAGGTGGCTTTTCTTTTTGGATGCCTTTCTGTTCTTGCATGACAGATGTGTAATACCTGATTCACACTTCTCCCTCTTGAAAACAAGTTCTTCATCTTGGTCCACAATCCCCTGCTTATTTGTGTTATCATGACAAATACCTTTACCCGTCTCCTTAATGTCCCTATTAAGGTGAGCAAGGGCACTGTATCTGTTGTGCAGGTACACAGCGAAAACTTTGTGTTTATGCTTCACAGCTCTCACCCTGCCAGATCCCACGGTTGTCCACAATGCCCTTCTCCTGCAGGATCTTTGTGGTAGAGGGGGCTGATAGTGCGGAGGCTCAATAGAGTAGAAGGGCTGAGCTGGACACCTAATTTCTGCTTAAAGAGCACAGATTACAGACCCTAGATAGATAATCTGTCCTTGTTTCCAAGTTTGAAGAGGGTACTGCAAAAGACAGCTGCAAAACAAGTGTTGCACTGAACTAAGCCAGACATTCTTAGATACAAGGAATCTCAGACACACTTGCCCTGAATCTACTGCTGCTGTTTTTGATTTTTAGTTATATGATTTGTGTGCCGTTAGGCATGCGGGCCGCTGCTTTCCTCCTCCTACCTTTTCATTTTCAACTCACAGTTTGTAGCAATTACCAGCAAGCTCTGGGCAGTTCAAATGCAGTTCAAATGCAATGGAGTATCCAATCAGCAGGGTCTTAGCTACTTCCTCCTCCCACCTTCTCCTTTTTAACTCACAGTTCAACTATCTTTTTTTTCTGACAAAATCTAGATCCCTCACCAGATTAAGCAGAATCAGACTCTACTGGCCGATTCATTCATACAAATAAAAGTTTTGTCACATACCAAGGAGATATCTTCTAATCATCAATGTGAACATGTTGAGGGATAATTATGAGCCATGGACCAGAAGTTAATTTAAGAGTGTCTGCTATTACACCATTGAAAGGGTCCACTTTGATATAATACAAGAAAGTTTTTTTTATTGAAAAAAATAACAAAAGGAATGGATGTATGTCAGCTGAAATTTGAGAATTATTGAAATGGTCCACATCACTGTATCTGAAAAAGTATCTTTTCATTGTAGATTGCAATAGTATGGAAACTTTAAATATAGAAAAATGTTCATGAATAGAAATAGAGACACTCAGTGTCAGATAAGAAGAAACATGGACATATATATCCTTTTGTCACTCTCTGATTTCTTGCTTTGTTGCAGCAAATAAAAGGTCAGGCAGGAGATGTATAGTTTATTTTTGCAATTCAGCCAGATTTGTAGTGATATGTATCTGACAACAGGAAAATTGTCCTTGCAAGAATGACCATATTAATCATCAGGAAAGGTACAAAATATGGTAGAAAGAACTAGGGCTCATGATATGCTTGCATAGAAGGTACAATGTGATAATACTAAAGGGCAACATGTTATAATATCTGGTGTGATACATAACATAACTGGACTGAAAGGAAATATATGGTTTTTGACCCTTATTTGATGTCCCTTTATATGATGATTCTTTAGCTTTAAGTCAGCTAGCAAGAAACATGAATTAAACTAATCAAATTCACAATTAGTATAAATTAATTATCATTTTCATTTGTATAAAATAAAAAAATAATGTCATTATTTCATTAATTAAGTGTATAAAACTGAGTTCATTATGTCATCTTAAGAAACAACTAGAAGTCTCTATAAAACTCTAAACAACATATTAATATTTATATCACCAATTACAAATGCTTGTCTGGTTCCTAAGAGATATCATATTATACCCTAGCCCTCTGAAGACAGAAGAGTTGGACATCCTTCTCCCTACTAGCTATTTGATAGAATTCTACTGCTAGTTACAATGATCAAAAATAACATAATGTATTATAGCTTCATAACACAAACTCTACCTTTTGTATTTGCATTTAGGGTTGGTACACAAAGAAGCAATAACCACCAGGAATCTTCATCACAACCTTTGGATTTTTGAGTCATTCCTTGCAAAGGTGAGATGGGTTTGAAATGAGGACTGGATGAAACATTCATTGGAACGTTTAATTTCAGTGATAAGGGTCTTATATACCATCTGCTTAAGCCTTCTCCATCCTGGTGCTTTTACAAAAATGTTGAGATTATTTCCCATAAATCCTAGCCACAAGGGATTTGAATATACTACCCTTGTGAAAAGTGGATTGCAGTGAAGAATGATACTAATTATGAATAGGCATTGTCACTTCAAGCAATAAAAATAATATTTCTTCTGCAGTTTATAGAGCAAAAAATGGCAGCAATACAGCAAAAACTAGTGCTTTGATTCTAAAATTATGCTTGACAGTTTTTGAACGTTGGTAGCTAGGCAAAAAGTTGATACAGATATCTTGTGACTAATATTGCATGAAGAGTGCAGTATGTATATTTTATTTCTTAATGCTGACAATTGCAAAAAAGCTATTTCAGTAGTGAAAGTTGGTTTGGGAGATGATTTAACAGTGATGAGAGTCCCCAGAAGAATAATTCCATCTCTCATACAAGCTGTTTTATTTTCTACTTCTAGACGTCTTGCTAAGGAATGTATTTAATCAATGAAGGGACTAATATTTAATAAAAAATAAATCAACATGCCAACTTAAATGAAAATGATGAACTTAAAGAAGATTAATCACATTAAAATGAGCGAAAATGAGAAGTGTTAATGGAGAATTATTTTGCAAGTGTCATCAAGCTTCAGAAACATTTCCCCTGACGCATCATATTGATTGGTCTTGCAACTTTATTTCTTATAATACCCTAATTTGTTCCTGTCTTGTCCTCTTCTAGTGTTTGCATTTGAAACATTCTGGGAGAAACAGAGAATTTCTATATTTTAGAGAATCTACATTCTTCGCACACTTCTGACACAGATATATTGTTTAGTGATAAAATATCTCTTCTAGATAACTGGTGCACAGTTCCCTGTAGAAGAATAATTTTCTGAACCTTTTTTTGCTTTAAGTTTAAGTTCGAGAATTGCTCATTTATGTTATTTAAATTAGTTTTAGTCTCCTCATAATTTAAAACAATTGTTTCTTGAATTAAGTTTAACATGGAAATAATTTCTTTATGAAGTCCATTTATATTTTTTGTTGATTATCCATGTTTTTTTCAAAAAAGAAATAGTCCAGAAACAACTTTCCCATTGTTTCAGTCAATATTTGTAATCCAGGCCGGCCAATTTAGAATGGTTTATTATTTCCTTATTACAGATAAAACAGCCCAAGGATTTTTTTTCTCTTTTCCCAGCTGCAGTCTGCAAAATGAAAGCTAAGGTTTATAAGTAAAATTCCACATACATCATTACAAAACATACAATATACATATATGCAACAATTAAAAAATTTGTAAAATGTAAACATGTTTTCTAACTCTTCTGTAATGTATGAATTTACAAACAATATTTATTTTATAAAGAAATACCCTAATTACATTTAATATTATAACCATTTTCTTGTATTTGATAAGCCTAGCACAAGACTGAATACTGTGATTCTCAAGTTAAGTACCATTTTATTAATTAGGTAGTCTGTTCCTCTGACAAACACACTCCTCTCCTGATTCTATTTTGCTCCTACAATTAAAACTAAAAATGCAGAGAAATGCTATTAACTAAGAAGGCTTCTGAAAAAAGGAATAAAGGGGTTGGTGGGGTTTCTTTGGGAGAAAGTTATTGACTCTAAATAAATAATGGAATTGGGCCAGTTCAATCAAGTCAAACAGGTCAGTCTCCAAAAGGATCATTGTAGAGTATATTGGTCTCCCCTTTCCCTGTCTACATTGTGAGAAAAAGTTTTATTATTTTGACATAGGATTCTACCCTTTGGAACTATTTTTAAAGAGACTTCCAAGTTTGGATTTTTCTATAACAAAAAGTACTTTGATACTGTGGCAATATTTATGCTCATGAACAAAAATTGTATCTGTTATTTAGTACATTTATTTGAAATTATATCTGAGTGCGACGGACTTTAAATATATTTCCATTGTAATGAATGGTGCTTGTATTCATAATACAGGAAAAAGCTAATGGATTCAGTACCTAGCACTTCCAAACAGGGCTATAAAAGATCACACTTTGAAATTCTGAACTAGATGGATTGATTGCTGGTATAAATGCAGTTTCCAGTTTCTTTTCAGCTTTAGGGCATAACTTGTAGGAAAAGCAATTTGGAATCTGTCATTTTTTGCCCAGTGCAACATGGGCTGGATGAAGCAAATAGGGTCCTTTTCTGTCTTCAGGTTTTGAGGGGACAACAGCTGTTTCAACTGCACATTAAATCCATATTTACCTTCTGAAGTGGAATGTTTGTTATTTGTTTAATGGCCCCTATTTTGTATATTTTGTTATTAGCATATTTTAGTTTGGTCTCCCTGTTGATTTAATATTTTTTGGTAGATTATATGTCTTTTTTAGTTTTGTGTACTGCCCAGAATCTCCTGGAAGTGAGCGGTCGGTAAATTTTAAAAAATAAATGCATTCTTTTTTTAAGAGCCTCTGAAGACTACAGTCATCTAAACATGTTTGGAATGTCAAGTGGATATATATATATATTTGTAAAATAAGTTTATTAAATTTATAAGAAGCTTAACATTCCCCCCCACTCAAAATATCAAGTTGCTCTTGTTATTTGGCAGTTTGCTGCTAAATTTCATCAGCAAAATCAACAGGGGAGGCATAAAAATGAACTGGAAGTTTGTAAGTTTTTTAAAAAAATTGTGACACTGGAAAATTAATGATTGCTTTCATGGAAAAGACTTTAAGATAACTGAGAAAACTAAATTGTTCAACATATTTGGTTATTAATCTTACTGAAGGATATTGTCTAATTTTTTTAGTTTATACTACTAAGGCAATATGACAAATGTATGCATACACCCACACATGCACAGACATAATTTTTATTAAAGATTTCAATTATTGTAATAAAAACTAATACAAGCTAAACTCAGAAAGAAAGATAAGTACACAAAGGGAATAAAAAGTACAAAGAAAAACAAGTAAAAAAGGAAGAAAGAGAAAAGAAAAATAAAAAACCTAAAATAAATATATAAATAGGGGACTTCCAATCTTCATTACAAGTGTAAACAACTTTAGCTCTTCAAGCTCCTAAAATATTACAATCATATATTTTCTTCCCGTTAATCTATCTTTTATCTATAAGCAAGTCCATAAGACTGATTATTCAATCCTGTTATCAGCAAAAAGTATACCAAAGTTTGCCAGAACTTCACAAAAATGTATATTATTATTATCTCTCTTCAGTAGGGAGTTGGATTAGAAGACCTCCAAGTTGCCTTTCAACTCTGTTATTCTGCTATTCTGTTATTTTTAACCAATTTTATATTCCTTCTTTTTGCTTCTGAAAATGTTAATCTTTACTCAACTATTGCCATAGTATTTGATCTCTCTTCAATTGTTGTTTACCCCATCCCATATGCTTCTTGGAGGTGTAAACAACCTAATTTTGTAAATCCAATGAAAAGACATTCTCCAGGACATTTCCTTGGTTTATCATTTGTATTTCCCCTTAAATTTTTAAAACTTCAGTCAGCTTCTTTTGTATATCCAGTAAAGAATCCTTATCTGGATTATTCAATTGACTGGTCACTTATATTTTCATTTTAAATACCTTCTCTGTTTTGTAAAACACATTTTTTTAAATTCAATATTTCTATTAATTCAATATTTCCATTATTTCTGCATCAGGCAAAATGTATTTCTCATTTGTCACTACTTCATTGACATCCTTTAAACAAAATTTGTCCATGGGAGCAGACATCATTACTGATATTATTGATATTGTGGTATCTAATTTCTGGTTCTAATTCTTTGAAGATCTTCTTTAATATTTCAAATATTGTAGTGTTTTATGTCATTTTGTAAACCCCAATTCTAATCAAAACCAAAGGCAGGTTTTGTTTGCCTGAAATCTTTATTCCTCTCCTTAGTGTCCAATTTAAATCATATAGTCTCTAATCTCAGTTAGACATATGGGAGACAAAATAATTCTGGTTCCCATAAAAAATGTTTAATCAAAATGCATTATTATAATTAATTCTAATTTTTTTCAATAAAAGTTTTAAAAAATCCAAATTTCTCTAGACCCCTTGGAAGATTAACAAATTCATTCACTCCTGTTTTTACTTGCTAGATTTGTTATTGCAAGAATTGGAAAAGAAATCAAGAGAATTCTTTTAGATTAGTGATATAATATAGTGTAATCCCTTGTATCGGGTGAAGTCAGGGCGACTGAATGGAGAAGAGCGTTTACTGGCTGGATGTCCTTTCTGACGCCTACATGGAGCTCACAGCAAATATTTTCTCTTTGTGTGTGTGAGTGAGAAATATCTGCCACTATCTTGAATCGAACTCACAAGCCTCTTGCTATTTTTTTTATTATTTAATCTTTTAATGTTTAGTCTTGGACATGCTAATATTTGTATTTTAAATAAATTGTAAGTTTTATGCCTAATATTGTCTTATTTCATCCTTCTAGGGTATATGGTAGACAATTCCTACTTTAATCCTGACAGAAATTCATGTTGTGTTAAGGATGATATATGCATCCTGCCGTTTGCCTTTTCTTGGTAATCAACAAAGAATTGCCAATATAAGAAGATATTTGTGTCTCAGGGTTGAACTGTGAGTTCCTTGGTGCTCCCTGAGTTTGATTGGTTTCTTGCAGACATTTTATTACCTATTTGGATAATGAAACATCTGCAAGAAAACAACCGAGCTCGGACAGCCCCAAGGATTCCACAATGAATTGATTAGATTTGTGATAATACAGTCATAAATGATAAAGAACATACTCTAAATCAAATGTAAGATTTTAATACACATATGTTCTTTAACATTGCACTAATGTTTGATTACAATTGCTGACTTTTCATCTATCTAAGTTGGTCACTTCTCAGTACTATAGGTAACAGGCTATGCCTAGCCTTTTCTGGATCCAATCTGTGTTGGTCA